GTTTTAATTGAATAAGAAAAGACTTTGGCATTATACAATTTCAGGGAAAAAATTTGGGTTAGGGTTGGTGGGTCGGTTTGGGGTTAGTATGTTGCAAGGAAGTGTCAGTATAGTTTGAAATTTGCAGTGCATTGTATCAAGTTTGCTAGTTTCAGACTTTTCGAGACTTAGCAATGCTGTTACATTTTTTAAATTGTCACATTTCTCAAGCTGAAATACTCTAAGAGACTTATCCTCCTCTGATTGCAACTTTACGCTGCTTTCACTTTTTGCGCAAATTAATAACATGTTATAGAGTTAGGATCACTGGAGGTTTTTCAAGCGTGTAATGCGTGTGTAGGTCATTGCTGCTTGTACAAATTGTCAACATTGAGGGCGCAGTAACCACTTTCATCTAGATTTAACAGTTAATTTTTTTGGGAGAATTACATCACCAATATTAGCCATAAATGTAAAGAAATATTCTGGTCTGAATATGATTGGGCACAAATTGTTGTCATGTATTCATGTAGTAATATATATATATAATAGCTCTCAGTGGTGGGAGTAACTGGTCTGAAGTATCTTGAAACCATTTGATATCAGTTAAATTGCATCTTCTTTTCGCACTGAAATTTTGGTATTTTGGAACACTCTGGTTTTCAATGATTGTAAGCTAGTTGTCATAGAAACTGAGATCAACTTGGTTGACATCCTGTTTTATTTTTAAATCTCATTAGAATTTTTTTGCCATTTTACATTTTGCAAACATTATCTTGCAGTGGAAATTACTTACACCCAAAACTTCAAAAAAAGCTCAATTTAGAAAAGGGATTTTTTTTAAATTAAGAATTGTATGAAGGTACCATACATTGTGAGTGAAGTTTGATTAAACAGGAGAGAAAAATTAAGGGAGCTCACTGCACCACACTTTATGTACAGTTTGTTAGTCAGTTAGGGGAGCTCACTGCACCACACTTTATGTACAGTTTGTTAGTCAGTTAGGGGAGCTCACTGCACCACAAAATGCATGTAGATTGTGCTGTACAAGTATTGTTTCTACACCACACCACAGAGGGCGCTATAGTCATATTACAGTGGGTAAGATTCTAATCATGTAATATTTTTGTTTTCGCTCAGGATTTTCCAAAAAGACGTTGAAGAGGTTTTTCTCCAACTGAGTTATTGCTCATAACTATTGTAGCATTGGACTCTTGCCTTTATCCGCCAAGAATACAAGATGATTGGTACCAAGGCTGTCTTGAATTGACCAATGAGTATTCAAGAATTGTCATGTTTATTTTGCATAACCTGGTTACTAATACATTGTTTATGAGATTACAGTACAGTGTGCGTACTTGTTTAGAATATTATTTTTTTAAGTTAGTGTGATTTGCTACAACTGTGATACTTAGGGACAACATCAAAAGTTCAATGTAGGATAAAAAACTTAATTCCTTTAGGTTTTTTCAAAAACCCCATTGATCAATATTGATCATGGCGTCTTACCAACTCAAGCCCCAAAAAACAGCTACAAAACCTTCAGCCGTTCAAGAGGAAATAATGAAGGGGAATATACGCATGCGCAAACTATTTTTCTGGGTTCTGTGCTTGTTCTAGGTCCATGCCCTGAAATTGACCTCATTTGATGCACATATTTACACTCGAACCAAACCATTTTCTTGTCTTGGATGTGTGTGTTTTTTCATTTTCTGTTTTTTTTGTCCATGATTGGTTAAAAAAAAAACTAACTACAAATACTCCAAGATCTGTTTTAATAAGTAAAATCGTTTTTGTAGGATGGAAACTTTTTTATGGTCACCCCCCCAAAAAAACTAAAGCAAACAAGTTTTTTATCCAACATCGATCTTTTGACGTCGTCCCTTAGTTGATTAATTTAAACCACAGTCATTAGATGGACATAGTAGATATCTGTCTAATACATCTGTCACAGGACAAGAATATTGATTGTGTTAGTAGTCGAAACTGCCTGAAAATATTCTTTGATAAGGTTTTGAAGCGATCTAAAAAAAATTAAATTTCATTGAATCTAACTTTTTATGGCAGCTGTGCTTGACTTTGACAATGATCTTACCAATGTGTATTACTTATGTACATCAGGTCATGGAGGTCAATTTAGAGTTGAGTGTGTTTTTATAACAAACATGCTGATTCCATCGTTAAAAAAAGTTTTAAATTCACATGCAATAGCCCTCAACCTTTAACGAAATAAAACACACATAATTATTTTCTCATTTTTTCAAAAAACACTATCACCACCTTTGACCAGTGAGTAGTGATTTCCAATTGTTCCAAAATTATCCAACAAATTATAGAAAAATACATATAAATAGGTAAAATTTTTCACTAACATTTTGGTGAGATGAAAAAACCATCAAACGGTTAGAAATTTGATGAGCTTATGCAGACTGGAAACTTTTAATGATTAAATTAGTAAAAACATCTAAGATACATACATAGTGTAGTTATGCTGTATTAGTAACTTTAATATAATTTAAGAATCTGTTTTGTTTAACCTTTTCACCACCAGACTTCCTCGTCCGAATTTGTCTGCGCTTTTTCTGGAAATGAACCCTAATTTTGGAACCAACAGACAAAATTTGAGTCGAAATTTTTACTCAAAAAAATTTGGCTACGTTTGTCCCAATTGTGTGAAGAAAAGTGCAGATTATAAACGGGAATATTTTGTAAATTTGTGATGAAAAGAGGGAACTGGTGATGGAATGATTAATATATCGTACATGGGAAATCATTTTGTTTTTTCTTGTATTTGAGTGTCGCATAATATATAATACATATATATATATATTATGATTATCGTACACTTGTCATATGTACTTGCAATATTTTGAACATTTGAAACCTAAGCGATCAAGGTCTGTAAATAATTGTTGTATTTTTCAGCTTTATCTGTGCAATTATTTAATAAAAAGATTAATTTATCATATTAATGAAATATTTTGTTTTGTTGCATATTTTGGTAGCTGCTGGAAGAGCTACTGGAGTTCTATTTTTTTCACTTGGAATTTATTTTCGCTGAAGGAATAAATTAGTGGAAATAAAATCCAGTTCTTATATTTTACATTCAACTCATCAAAAATTATCGAAAAGAAACTTAACACAAAAATCAAATTGCCTTTTCAGCAAAAATTATTTCTAGCTAAAATTAAGTATTATCATAAGAAACTTCACACAAAAATCAAATTGCCTATTCAGGGAAAATTATTTCTAGCTAAAATAAAGTATTTTACAGCATGTTGCATTTATATTCTACGTGATTTAGAAATATAATAATATGGTAAATACTGTTAAATCAAAGTCCGAAGGAATAGCTTTCAGGAATTTTCTGATAAGTGTGTTACCTTCTTCTAGCTTACAAAGTTTATTTTTGTTCTGATTGGTAAACAATGCTGTTTCCTCTTGAAAACTACCAGCTCAATTACTTTGATAATTAGTATAGTTTATAACAATGTTAATTGCCACAACCATATAAACTAAAATGGTTGTGATTTAGAACAATGTGGTAACATTAACCATGGCAAATCACTAATATATCAAGAAGACACTCTGCAAAGACAGAGAAGCTATTTGAGTTGATCTCTCAGATTTGTTGACTTTCATGACGATAATTTTAGTTGTAGTAATTTTAGATAATTTTTGAAAACCACCAACCCAATTCATCTGACATTTTATATTCAGGTACCTTAGATTGATCACTGTCAGATTGATTTGATTTCTTCCTCTATCTGATTACATGTTGATACCGGTAACTATAATTTTTCACATTCTATGAATACCAGTATTCTTGTTATCTTCAAAATGGCTGGACTGATTAATTTGTTAGTCCTATCTTATTATGCGTCTAAAACAGTGGACCTGTATCAGCCAACAGGCTGCCTGTCTTTTTTGAATGTGCCAACCTTTTTTTCCTGAAGTAGAATGTTGTGTGCATAATTGTCATTAAATGTCAAATTTATTTCTTTGTTTTCATAAATTATTGATATATTATCAGTCGTGTCACCATAAATCATTCTGACTATGTATTCAGAGGATTTAGCTGAGCCTAGACGTCAGTCACTTATCCATCATAATAATTGTATAACCTGTATACAATAATCAGCTTAACTCGATGAATCAAGTAAGAGATATGGTTGCCTGGTGCATCCAGATGATGTCATGCAATTCTTTGCTTGGATTCAGAACGATGTAGACGTGAAACTATTGCAGTGATTGATTAAAAGGCAGCTGTCACTGCATCTCGTCCTGTTCCATATGAGACTAAAAAGTGACGTATACAACGCCTGTAAAATACATTGTTTATTTACATGGAATCCAAACAACCACTGCTCTTTAAAATTT